CCTCTAATCTTGGAATTTGTTATTATCATTGTTTAACCTTTACATTGATCTTCCATCTTAAAGTTCTCATCAACTTCTTTTTCTTTTTCCTTTTCTTCTTCTTCTTCTTCTTCTTCTTTACTACTACTACTACTACTATTACTACTATTATATTATTGTTGTTGTTGTTGTTATTACTATTATTGTTGTTTATAATTTATACAATTAACCTCCCTATGGTTCGACCCCGATCTTGTAGGGTTATTTATTACTTTGACACTCCTACACTTGAAAGAAGACATCAATCTTTTGGTCGTGTTAGTTATTTATTATTTCAACACTCCTGCATTTGGGAGAAGATATCAATCTTTTACTCGTGTCAATTGCCTTTTACTTTTCAATGAATACATGCAATGTTTCCTCAAGATTTCTTCTAGGAGGTGCAGCATAAGAAGGTGCATATCCATAAGAGTTTTAAAAATTATGATGTGTTTGAAACGGTGGTTGTGAAGTTTGTGCATTATTTTTCTCACTTTTTCAACTGAAATTTGGGTAATTTCTCTAACCAAGGTTGTATGTTTGCGAGTATAGGTTATGATTGGGCCTTTGAAAACTGTTTAAAGCATGAGTTTGTTCATGGAGACATTTCTTAAAAAAAGGCAAAGTTAGACAGTTATTGGTTGAGTGTTTATTTGTTTCACAGATTTGACACATAATATTTTAAACATATTTTAATTGACCACTCTTTTTTAATTCTAGTGCCTCGACTTTCCTAGCTAAAGATGCAAACTTGCTTGGAGATCATGATCTTCCCTAAGGTTATACATACCTCTACTAGATGTATGAGATTGAGTTTTACTCGATGCCTCATAAGTACCTGCAGTGTCTTAATTTTGAGTATTTTCATCTAACTAGTCTAAGTACCCCATTGCTTTATTAGGGTCTTTATCTTCAAAAGTTTCATTGCACATCAATTCAACCATTTGTCTATCTTTAGGTGTTAACCCTTTATAAAAATATAAAATTAATTTCCATGTTTCAAAACCATAATGAGGGCAAGTATCAAACAAGTCTCGATACCTGTCCCAATATTGATAAAATATTTCTCATAATTTTTAAGTGAAAGTGGTGATTTCTCTTTTGAAAGATTTTATTCTATGAGAAGTGAAAAACTTCTTTAAACAGCAGCAGCAGCAGCAGCAGTAGTAGTAATGGTAGTAATAATACTAATAATAATAATAATAAAAAAGAAGAAAAAGAAGTTGATGAGAACTTTAAGATGGAAGATTAATGTAAGAATTAAACAATGATAACAATAAATATCAAGATTAGAGAATCCATTAATAGTATGTCAAACAAGTATAGTATAAGCTCTTATTATTCAATTGGAAACCACACACAAAGAAGATTCAAATCAGATTATAAATTGTTAACGTGATTACATTAGTTATCTTATTCGAATAAGGCTAATACTTGTAAATATTGTCAGGCATTCATAATTATAACTTATGTTAACAACAAATCAAGTTCCTTTCATAGCTGAGGTGTTGGTTATACTATATAATATGGGCTATGAAAGTATCAAGTATTTGTTGTACCAAGTGTTATACAACATAAATCTAGATTAACCATTTAACAAGCAAAATATTAAAAGTGAACAAGTTAACAAATACAAAGCATGTTAGTATCAAACATTAAGGTCCATGTTGAGTTTAAACTATACTTATTCTTACACAATTAGTGTAACCTTTTCACCTTGACAAAATAAACTTAACTAATCATAAAGAAAGAAAGAAAAATAAATAAACAAAATAAGAACATAAATAAGATAAAAGTTAACAAAGTAAAGAAAAGGAAATGAAAGGCATAAACTTGATATTAATAATAGCAAAATATAAGCAATACAAATAGAGAAAACAAAAGCATGATCTTGATCTAACTAAGATACCTAATTGCATGGAAAATACCTCCTTTTATAGGCCGAAATTGGGAACTATTGATTTGATGACTAATTAATCAGTGGGTGGCCAACTCTTGACTTGGTGACAATCCTTATCTTCTCTTGTCTTCCCAAAATGTCATTAATAATATCAGAATTGGAACCAAATCTCCACATAAAAGTTGTAGAAAATTATCTCATCTTTCTAAAAAACAAAATGGAGGTTATTTGGACTTTTAAAACTCTAGATATAGGCTGAACACTGAACAGTGTATAGGCTGCAGGACAAATTTAGACTTCTTCGTTGTTGCTACAATTTGGACTTGAAAACGACTTTATTAAAACTAGACTTTCACATGAAAGTTGTTAGCCTATGTTTTACATTTTCATTTATATAAAGTAGACTTAATCCGAGATCTATAGCTCCAGATATGACCCAATTATCAAATAGTATTCCTATTTAGACTACACAAGCATCTTTTTTCTAAGTTTGACCATCTCTTCATACTTTTAATTTTACTACTTAAACTCATCAATCAATCCTTTTATTTATGTGATAGGCCTGCATTTAAAATGAACATTTATCACAAATTAAAGGTATCTTATGTTATTAGATATGTTATTATAAAAACATGCTTTAGTTAAGGTGTTATTGATACTTCAAATACAAAATAATGATATAAAACCTTGATAAAAATACACTTTTAAGTACTAATCATGTCTCAACACCTAATGCTCTAAGACCAACTAGTCTGGGAGTCATTAGTCTAAAGCTCGTTACATGGGATAAAGATGCATTATGTTATCTGTATATATATTAAAAAAGAAAAAGAAAAAATAAATAAATAAAGATAATAATCATTAACCAAAGATGTTAACCTTAAACATTAGCATAAAATTTTTTGTTTTCTTCCAATAAAAGCTCCATAACTATGTGTTGATATATTGAGTATATAAAAAAAGATTTATTAATATCTTGTTAAAAAGTATGAAGCAGATATATAAATTTAATGAGAGTTTATTTATTTGGATGGATTAATGGAAGTTAAATGATGAAATCCTTACTTTGTGGAACTTGTAAATTATTTTTCTATTTTAACGTTTTGATTACTAGAAACTAGTAATAAGCTGGTTGGAGGGGTGTAATTAGTACTTAAAAGTGTATTTTTATGAAGGTTTTATATCATTATTTTGCACTTGAAGTATCAATAACTTCTTAACTAGAGTATGTTTTATAATATCATGTCTAATATTATAAGATACCTTTAATTTATGGTAAACGTTTATCTTAAATGCAGGCAAAGAAAGGGCTAAGCTTATAAAAAAAGATGTTAGTGCAATCCAAACTGGAACACTATTCAGTCATTAGAACTTGGATTTGGGTCTACTCTATATAGATAGAAAGCTAAGACATAGACCTAAAACTTTTATGGGAGTCCAAGATTCAAAAAGGTCATTTTCATGTTCAAATGGTAGCAATAATAATCTATCTTACAGCTTAGACACTGTTTAGTGTTCATCCCATATCTCGAGTTATAGAAGTCTAAATAACCTCAATTTTTTTTTTGTTGGAAAGGTGAGACAATTTTCCAAAACTTTCATAATAAAATTTATTCAAATTTTGATGTTAGCAATGACGTTTTGTTCATAAAAAATATAAGGATTGTAACCAAGTCAAAATGTGGTCACCTACTTAACAATTAGTCAACAAATCAATAGTTTCAAATTTTGGCCTATAAAAGGAATCATTTGTCATGCATTTAAAAATCTTGGTTTTCAGATCAAAAACATATTCATGCTCTCTTTCTTTATATTTTTATAATACTTAAATTTTATTTTTATTAATCTCTTGTATATGCCTTACATTTCATTGACTTAATTAACTTATATCTTATTTATGTTCTTATCTTATTTATTTACGTTTCTCTTCTTCATTATGTTTAGCTAAGTTTATTATGTCAAGGTAAAAAGGTCACACTAATGGTATAAGAATAAGTATAGTATAAACTCAATATGAACTTTAATATTTGATACTAACATATTTTATATTTGTTATCTTATTTACTATTAATTATTTGCTTATCAAATGGTTAATCTAGATTTATATTGTATAACCCTTGGCATAACAAATACTTGGTATAACAAATACTTGGCACTTTCATAGTCCATCCGTATAGTATAATCGACACATGTGCTATGAAAGAAACTTAATTTGTTGTTAACATAAGTTATAATCATGAATAACTGACATAATTTACAAGTATTAGTATTATTTGAATAAGATAACTAATATAATCATGTTAATAATTTATAATCCGATTGAAACCTCATTTGTGTGTGATTTTCAGTTAAGTAATAAAAATAATTTATCCTATACTTGTTTGAAATATCATTAGTGCATCCTCTAATCTTGACATTTATTTTTATCATTATTTAATTCTCATATTAATCTTACATCTTAAAGTCCTCTTTAACTTATTATTATTATTATTATTATATAATTAACCTCACAATGGTTTGACTCTGATTTTTTTAGATTATTTATTATTTTAATACTTCTATATTTAAAAAAAAATATGAATCTTTTAGTCATGTTAAACTAATCACTCTATATCATCTTAATTATATCAATTCTGATTCAAAAATTAAAACTTTCATAGGATAGAAAACAAAACACAGAGGGAAAAAAAAAATGTGGTAACCGCAATTTTATTTTATTGTTAATTGTCGTACGAGTTAAGGAACTCCTCACATGCTAAAAAAATCTGGAATATTTGAAGTTCTAAAATAAACAATTAACAGGTAAGCAAGCAAGGGATTGGCCAAAATTAGTTGACACCCTAATATCCCTTAAAACCCGCATTAAGATATGCGACTATTTTCCAGAATCACGCTGATATTATATGTATAAATTGTTTTTCAAGTTTTGTTCTTTAAAAATTTATTATTTTACCCATCAAGCAAATAAAAGAAAAATTATACGACTTAAAAAAAAGATATAAATTGATAAGAGGATATTAAAATCTTGGATTACAGCGGTGTGCCTATACATTGCCTCTCTGTCTTGGTGCCTCTTGTATTGTGAGTTGCCCTTCTAGGGGCATCAAGGAATCGTATCTTCATCTATTCTGTGGAGTGTCCCTTCGTTGTAACAGCTTCGGAGGTGATGCTCCACAAGAACACAAGGATTCATCATCTCCTCTCCTCTTTTATCCTTCCATTGGTAAGTTCTTTTTTATCCAATTTTATGATATCCCTTTTCATCTTTTGTGTATCACATGTTATGTCATTGCATACATGAATACATTCTTGTGATGATCATATGTATAAAATAAATGCTCGATTGTTTTTGGTTGATCTTGTTATACATGATCAGTCTTTGGTTTTCAATGCTGGGTGCCCTTTTCTGTTCATTTTTTAATCTTATTTATCATTGCCTGTGTCGTCCGGATTATTTGTATCATCTTTTTGCTTGATTTGTTTCAGCGTCTTCTTAATCATGTTCGTTCTATTTGTGGGTTTTACAAGTTGTGCTGCATCGGTGTGAATTAGGAGTATGTACTCTTTTTTTATGGTATTGGTGATTTCCCCCGTTTATACTATTTTATCTTTAGTTTCTGATTTTGTTTTTATAGTACATTCAAGAAGATTAAACCCTAGAAAGCTTATAATTGCTTTACGGATAATGCAACACATCGTGAATAATTTAGTTAATAAACTCTACGCAGCACACAAGAATTTTGATGTTTAACAGCATTGCATTCGCATACTGTAACCCCGATTGATTATTAGTTTTTTAATTGTTAAAAATACTCGAAGATAATATATTTTCCAAGAATATACAGAAAATTGATCTGTTTAACCTCCCAGAAAAAGAAAAGCTAGCTAGCAAATAGTCGAAGAAATGTCCAGGCTATGTTTTCTGGCTTTTAGTCATCCAACTTTGCATGCCAGATCTTTTTCTCTTCATTCTTCACTGTCAAGCTTTATGGACCATGTTAGACTTCCCTTTCTTTTGTTTTTATCGAATATATATTCTCATACTAAAAAGAAATTGGGATTCAGTTGTTTTAGTCTTGGATAATCCTCAAATATTTTCGTTTCTTCAAAAGGAGAGAGGTGGGCCGCTTGAATGATCCATCTGATGCTCAGTCATCTATTCATTTGATACCCAGTGGACCTCATTGACGGTTCATGTTAAGGCTCTGTCTTGTGGAGCCTATGGATATATGGAGAACATGTACATCTTAATACCTTGGCACAAAATGCCAGCCTACGCACATGGAGGCTTGGCTACCGGTTGTTTACACGGTGGTGTTTTTTTTAAGGAAAGCATGTTTGAGTCTGGCAATTTCAGTTGTCCTCCATTACAATGTAAAAGGAAAGCCTATCCCCGATTTACAGTCTAAGCATGGGAACTAAAAACACAAAGCTAGCTCTGGTAAATTTTCATGTGTACTTAACTTTAGAAACTTTCATTCGACCATATATAAATTGCATAGTTTCTTCTAGAAATTGATCATTTTCTTGCATCTGTATCTTTAAATAATCTTATTAAAGAGATTGCATTTCTATATGTTATGTTTTATCCTTAGTAACCGTAAATGTTAAACCTCTTTAATTAGTGATAAATATTACGCATGCAGTTTCCTGGTTCACAAAATCTTGTCTTAAAGGAGAACATGATTTTGATTGTGTATGGATGTTTTCTCTTCTTGCAGGCAACTTAGTAATGGTACCAGATTATGAATATCTCAAATCCACATATGTGGAACCAAATCTTGACTTCACATATATCAATTAGCTGTCTTTTTGCTGCTATCTTTCCCTCTTTTCCATACTTCTCTTATCGATATCATACCACACTCTTTTCTCTTTCTATCTCCCAGCCCATCCCACCCTTCTCTATTTTGAAAAACTGCTGGTATTTATTGACCAGCCACACTGCCAACAGTACTGTTCTCTCCATGCAGTTCTTGATTCCCAATCCAATACCGAATCCCAAAATCCTTCGTTTATTTTTAGTTTCCCCCTTTAAAATGAAGAGCCAAAACCAAGAAACAACATCGCCAACCCATAATTCACTACAATAGTCTCTTTTGGCTCCAAGACTTGAAACCGAAGAGGAGGAAAAGTTTATTAGTAGTTGTGATAGCTTAAGTTCAAGCAATAGCATGGCTTACAACGTTTCATCACCATCATCTTCAACTCTCAATGGTGAGTATATCGGTATAGAGAGTTGTCTTGATCTCAAGAACAACGAAGATATTTTCGCATCATCATCAAAGAAAGAAGAGACTAATTACGGGAGTTGTAATCGTGAAAAGAGAGATCAACGGTGGGCTAAGAAAAAGGAGTTTCCACCACCAATACCATTGTTAGCTCGTACGGAAAATTTGCCTTCTCATATGCCTTGGGTTTTAAAGAGGTACTACACAAGTGATGGAAGGTTGATACTTAGAGAAGAGAAGGTCAGGCATCATGAGTACTTTCGGGCTCACAGATGCAATGGACGCCTCACCTTGCATCTTGTTCCTTTAGATGATGAAGTTTCGGCCCTTCCTTTTGTTTTTAATCATGAGAGACGCCATGGCATTGAGAATGATCTGGAGTGCAATGATATTGAAGAAGATGAGCAAGTACTCGAGCAAGAACACGAAGAAGAGCAGGAAGAAAATGAAAGCCTGGTGGAAGAAAGTACAGATGTGGAAGTAAATGGCAATGATGGTGAAAATGATTATTGTGTTAAGAATGTTGATAGTGATGACACACTAGAGGAGAAGGAGGAAGTTGTGCATGATGATAAAAGAGTTCCTTCTGTGGATACTTCCGGTAGTGCAGGCAAATGCTTGAACTACAGCAGTGTGAGAACAAGCTCCACTTGTATATTCGGGGTGCCTGTACCAGCAGTAAGGCCAGTTCATAGTTAGACATAAAAAGAAAAAAGAAAAAAGAATTGAATTCCATTTTGAGTTTTGATGGGTCTTTTTTTATTGATAGATTAAGTTGTTACCTCTAATGTCTTTTACGGAGAATGAGATGGATGATGTATTCTTATTCTTATCAATTTTCAGGTTCATAAGAGAAGAGGTTTTTCATTTTGAAGTTGAGTTTTGTATTCCAGAGGTACTGAGTTTCATGATTCATTAATTATATGCCGCCTTATGTGGTGTGCTAGTATCTTACTCGGTACGTGGGGCAAAACCTCGTAATTAAGACAGATTGAATTTTATTGCCAAAGTGACTATTCTTACAACAGAGCAATTTGATAGTTTTGAAGAATATGTAGCTTCTGAGAATCTTCTATAATCGGTGTTAATAGACGTTGATAATCTTTAAAGATCTGCCTTCGTGAAATACTGAAATTCTTGCGCCAATTAACTCTTTCAAGTGACTGGGAAGGGTTCAAAACTAGGTGAAGCCTCCTCCACTTCAACTTAATCCTAAGGAAGATAGACGATTAATGTTCCTACCTTCTGTAAATTAATGAGATTAAAATAAATTGCTGTCAGGATTTTTAATCGTTTCATTTGCTAATCGGGAAGACCTTGATAACAAATGAAACAATAACACAGAAATGGCTATACAAGTACGAAGTCTTGTGGGGGTGTGTGCTGGCTTCCATAATGGAGTGTAGAAATGATCACGCCCCTCAAAAAATTCAGAGAGGAATCGATTGAGTTGTGGTGGTGGTGCTACAGTGATGAAATGCAGTCTGGCAGTGGCTGCATCAAGTACAAGGGACCGATTTCCGAGGTACACAATATTCTATTCATTTGTTTTTTATGTAAGACAGGTTGGAATTTGATTTTCTTTTTTTCTTAAGAGGAATGGAGATAGATGCTAGTATTAATTGAGTCAAATCTTTCAAAAACAGAAGAAACCCTAATGCCAGTTTAGTTTAGTCTGAATCTCATTGGCTGCTGCTGTTGTTGATGATGGGATGATAGGGAAGGAATTCGATTTTGAAATCATCATGTAGTACAGCTATCAATCTCCTGTCATTCTTGTCAGTCCTCATGATTGGCTTCCTTTGACGCTTGCACAGTCTTTCTCCCATTCTCATTATTTTTTTGGGACTCGTATCCAACACTAATTCTGGCACAGACCGCATCCACCACTATTGCTCAACCGGGTCAACCCGTTTTCACTCCCTCCCACCATCATTTTTTAGAGTTGCCCATTACTATTGTATATTCCTAAGATCTTTGGCCAGGTGGGTTACTGGTTTTAGGCCTTCTGTATGCTTGTTTTAAAAGTTTGCTATCGGTCAAATTGGGATACACTAATGTATGTACTAGCTCCATGGTTTCTGCGCTCCGCCGCAGGCATTCTCTTTCTTTGTTGAGCTACGGTGTTCGCAGCCGTGTTCATGAAAGAAAGAGCAACAGTAGAACGCAAAATCTTTTTATGAAGTTTACAATCAAAAAGCAAGGTTGTGATATTTCATGCTAAAGGAAACATTTTAAGTCTCTTTGGTATAAACATAACCAAAAACTTAATGGAGAAGCCAATGCAATGCTATAAGTTACCCAACAAAAGTGAAAAGTCCATGAACTACTAGAGAGAAGAAATCCAAGGGAAAGGAATTGGGATTGGATGTTTGAGAAGTTGATGATGAGGTGGCAGCAGTGCAAGCCTGGAATTGCATTTCATGTTGCTCTTCCGAAGCTGGCAAGCCCGGTAGTTACTGCCCCCGCATAGAAAAGAATGCGTCAGAACCTGTCAAGGGACGGAAAGGAATTCAATGTAAATTAAGCCGGTGGTTTGAGGTTAACACATGGGAGGGAAAGCATGTTAAGGTACCGTGCATCTGGATTAAAAGAGAAGGAAAAACAGTGGCTGTAACTGACGGTTAATTGAAAAACAAATTAAAAATGACCATGAAGATAGCTGCAAGGCAATAGAGGAAGCTGGTAGTCTCATAGCACAGGTCTCAAGCTAGACAGAAAAATGGAGGTCGTGCTTTCAGTGCAAAAGGAAGCAGCATGAACTCGCACAACGTAACAAAAGTAAGTGCCAACAAATGATCCAGAAATCGAACGTGAGTTGTAAATTCATAGATAAAATTCATGAAATTAATAGATAAGAGGACAACGTGCACCACAACATCCAATACCTAAATGAAAACAAACAATGGCAGCTTAAAAGAAGCATCGAAAATGGATAGAAATCAAGCTATAAGAAACACAGAGGGTGCGATAGCATGCAAAAACTTTTTATCAATGGCTAATTTAATGGCTAAAAATTACATCATGATAAGCAGAGTATATGTATAATTCACTACTGAAAAAGAGAATGATTAGCATTGGATTTCAGCAACCAAATAATTCATATGCTAATTTAGAATCGGATTAAAAATCAACAATGAATTTTCCATTGCTAACATGGAAACACAAAATTTACAACGAAAAAATTCTGTTGCTGCTAAAAAGAAAAGATTAGAATTACACTTTTATTCAAAAAATAATTACATGTCAATAATTGATTGGTGCATGCATACCTTAAAAAAACTCACTCACGTAGGAATATACCAATCTCATAAGAGAAACCTTTTATTATTCAAAAAAAAAGAAAAACCTAACCCTGTTTTCCTTCTAAAAAAACCCCTACTTCGCACATATGTCATTTAAAAAAATATCTAAGTCTATAAAAAATAATTACAGAATTAAAACAAATAACAAATTAAATACTCATTCTAGAGACTCATTCCAGAGGTGATATGTTATTTTTCTAGAGGTGATATGTTATTTATATCATATCAAGCTAGCATGATATATTTGTTATAATAGACTTAAAATTTTTATATTTATCTTTTCTAATATTTTTTTTTGTTGATAGAAGAAAAAATAGGTGGAAAAAAACCTTTATATGATGATGTGTTTTTAGTATTGCATCAAAGTGTTAAAAACACTATCACAATCTCTAAATTTACCAACAGAATTTTTCATTGGTATTTGTACTATCATTTTGTTGGTAATTAATTTACCAATGAACTCACCAACAAAAATGCTTCATCAATAAATCTTTCATCGGTAATTTTTTTTTCTATTGGTAAGTCTGTTGGTGAGTTTATTGGTAACAAAAAAAATATTATTACTAATGGATTTACTGATGAAAAAGTGCAAAAAAAATTATCCGCTTTATTTTGTCGATATTTCTCTAAAAAAAAAAATAGTATATGTAATTCTATTGATAATTATTTAAAAATATTTTAAAAAGATCCATTACACAAAACTATAAAATAATTAAATTAATATAAATTAACACTTTATAATACTCAAAATGCTTGGAAAAAAAAAGAAGAAAATCATATGGAAAAAAATCTTACAAAAATATTCATACAATTATTAAAAACAAAAACAATTAAAAACAAATATAATGAAAGAAAAAGAAAAAAAAAATCTTACCTTAATGTGGTTGCAAGTGAAGCTAAAGAGAAAAAAAATTCACAAAGTATACTAATTAAAAAAATTGAAGAAAAAAAAAAGAAAATAAAAGAATACATACCTGAGCATAGAGGAGAAAAGAAGGAGTTGAGGAGAGAATAGAAGAGAAAGAAATGGATATTGATATTTTTTACATATAAAAAAACAAGAAGAAGAAAGGAGCCCCGTCTACTGTGAAATTATGGATTATAGGCTTTTTATTAAGGTGTTTTACCGATGAATAATTAAATATTAATATTTTTAATCATTCTGTAGGTTAGTACATCTATAATATTTAATTGAAATTTTAAATTTAATAAAAAAAAATTCAAAAACCGCCCAATATCACTGATGATTTTTTAATCCATTAGTGATTCTGTCAGCAATATTTAATTTAAAATTTTAATTTAATAAAAAAAATTTCAGAAAACCGTCAAATAACACCAACGACTTTTCAATCCGTCAGTAATTTTATCTGTAAAAAACAATAATTAACAATACAATTAAGAAGTGAACATTTCTAGAGCCCTCTAGAAAATACCGATAAAATTTTCTATTGGTGATTTCCTTTGTAATTGTCATAATGAACAGTTTTCATAGTTTACTAATGAATTTGCCGATGGATTTTACTGATAGATTTATTATATCGGTAATTTTATTGGTAAAAATAGCACGTCATTGTTTTTTTGCTTTATTTTAATTATTATTTTTTCCCACCATAATTCCATTGGTAAACACCAAGAAAATATTTTTCTCGATAAAATCCATCGGTAATTTATCAATGAAAATATTCCCTCAGTATTTTTGTTTATATTTATCAATTTTCTAGTAGGGAAACAACTTGAAACCTTTATAAATAACGAGTTTAAAAAAATTATTGTAAGTAATTTTTTATGTAATTTAATTATTATTTAAAATTCAAATGAATTTATTATTACATTTAATTATAGGAGAGTTATAAAAAGAAGATGATTTCAAGATATGGAATGATTGAGAAAACCATCTTTCATTTGATGGAGTAGCTTAGTGTATGGCTATAAAAAGAATTACATAGGGTAGAATATATAGTGCATTTGGTATGTCAAAGTCCATGGTTAGTATGAGTGCTTCATCACAATCTTACATGATGGAGCTTGAAAGGGCAAATAAAGAAAAGAGATAGTCATATTTTATCACTACAATAACAGATGATTTATGTAAAAAAACTTCTTAGTAACATGGGATACCAAGCTTGGACATCAAATATGGACCAAGTTATATTAACACCTATGGCTTCATCTATATCCTCATATATGGCTCCACAAATAATACCTATGTATCCCCTGTCTATACCATTATATTGACCTAGGTCTTAACCACTATATATTGGACTCCCTTTATGATGGTTAGCATTATCTTGGTTTGGTTTCACCATCACCTTCATGATAAAACATATTTATTAAATTGTGACTTATCTATATTGATGTAAGTTTAACAAGATTTTGAAATTTTTTATGAAATTTAATTTAATTAACTTGTTATTGTTGATAAAACAATCTTTAGTATTAATTTATGTTATTTATATATTGTTCTACTATTTGTGAATTATCCATAAAAAATTATAAAAAATCAATAAATATAAAAAATCACTTTAAAAAAAAATTATTGGACAAATTAGCAATGAATTAGCAACAAGTTTTGCATTGCAAATCAACAACAAATGAACAACAGAATTTCA